TTCAATATATATAAAAAAACCAAATAATTTCACTTACATTAAGTAGTTTTTAACAAAAAGATAATCATTATATATTGATAAAAAAAATATAATTACATTCTAGAATTTAACCAGACTATAAAATAAAAAAAGCGACTCATAGTCGAGTACAATTGAAGGGTCTTCCTAGCCACCAAGTGGGCTATCCTATTACTACGCCGACCTATAAATCGCACACTAAGCCCACTATGAATCTCCAAGCAACACACAACGTTATCAAGAAGAGCTCTAATCCGACTATCCCTAGTATTCGATTGATTGACTTTATCAATAATTACCTTGGCATCACCTTCCAATCATAGCTTCTTCATTAAGTTGTTTTAATTGGAATGGTAATGAGTTTTTCTCGTCTTTCAGGTTCTTGATGCATTGAATTCTCGAAGTTGTGAATAAGAACACTATATTTCTTCTCTTTCATAAATGCAACCACATGCAGCAAAATTGAATTAAACATGTAAGTCTAGATCATTGACACCAAACATTCTAAACTATGCTATCTCAATTGATGATGAATACAATCCACAATGTAGGTGCAGATCATTGACACCGAACACCCTACACTATGCTATATCAATTGATGATGAATCTAATGATATGTGTACTGTAGCACACAAAGACAATGGAAAACATGACAGTGCAACAAAAGATGCTTTAAAAAAAAACAACAAAAGATGCCCAATCCACTTCGCTTGACAATTTTTCCCCCCAAGGCAAGCCCCAAAGGGAATCGGACAAAGTCTCGACACAAATATAATACTGATTCAAATCATATACGATAGTTCGTATGCAACCAGACTATCATGAAAGAGCCTGATAAGTCACTACTTGGGCAGCTCCGAAGAAGTTCTGAGGAGAAAAAACACGACACTGACGGGAAAGGAAAAAAAAACCAACATCTCCAAGATAGTCCCGCCAACGAGTGTAGTTTTCTCTAGTTCTTCGCTTGACAATTACAAATCAAATAGATCAAAACATTTATACATGTGAGAAATCAAATAGATTAAATAAAATCAAATAGATCAAGAAGCAAATTCGAACAATTGTTTGGAGTAAAAAATAATGATAACTAAATAGTACACAAACTAAATTATATTGCTTCTCATGTATACACTATGTAGGCGTACAACGTCAAACTACTGACAAGGCAAGAAGAATCCCAAGCCTACTCAAAATGCTCCTGCCCATGGATCGAGCACCCTAAACCGGCCGACTGGAACCAGTGCCACACCTGGTGCCGGTGCAGTTTCGTGGATGGAATCGTTAGAGAGCCACGGGAAAACAATTGAAGCCTCCACCGGCATCGCTAAATTGGCCGTCACTTATGCCAGCGAAGTGTCAGCAAGACTATCAGTTCTCGGCGAAGTAGCGGCAGGGCCCACCGCCAGCGCAATCACGGGAGTCGCTGTTGGAGTATCGTAAAATATAATAAAGTATTTATTGAGAGAGAGAAAATATATAAAAAAAGAAATAAACAATTTCCCTGGTTCGTTGGTTATCTCGGTGGGTTGGTGATGGATTTTGGGCTGGGTTTAACCAAATTCAATTAACGCCACATCAGTTTGGTAATGCCAACATGGCCCAATAGAATTTGGTTGTACCAGTGCCCCGCACTGTTGCATTGGCCAAAACAATCAATAGCCACAACTAGGCTAGGCCAATCATTTTTTTAGTTATTGACGTGTATTTGGGATATGGACCTGACAGGTTAAAGCCCATTGAAAATGTAATTTCCCCTAAACGACTACAAGACAAATGGAGTGGGCAAGCCAACACTCATCGGCCCATTGAGCGATAGATTCGTACCTGTAAAAGCCCATAAAATTTACTGGAATTACTGAAAATTTAGTTATAACAGAGCTCCTGCTAAAACAAATTATCAATAGCCACAACTAGGCTAGGCCACTAATTTTTGCCACTAATTTTTATAGTGTATGGGGGGAAAAAATCATTTTATAATAGATTGACGAACTTCCTAAAAAATCTTTTGCAATAGGTGCCAAATCTTTTTGAATGATGGACGAGTTTTAATTTTTGAATTGTGTAGTGGTATTGCAAAAGAAGTTAATTTCTAGAATGTAGAGGTTTAGATGAGTTGTATAAGAAAACTGAAGATTGGACTAAAACAACAAAGCAAGTTTGATGTCATCTAGTTATTACATATAGGGGGTGTGCAATGGTCAGATTCAAGACCGTACCGTATTGGACCAAATCGAAGTTTGGATCAAACTGAGTATAGTGCGGTTCGGTCTTTGGTCCACGTGAATTTTACAATTACTGAAGAAATGATGGACCGAAATGATATTTGGAATGGACCGAACACAATGATGGTTCGGTCCTTGGTCCTAAGATGTCTTTTTCTAATGGAGCGCGGTTCTCATGAGTTTGATCCGGTCTGGACCGGACCGAACCATTGCACAACCCTAATTACATAGTTTTGTTTCGATGGCACAAATTATGGAGTTAGTTTTAGAAAGCCAGTGCTGGATATTGCGCCATTTGGGTCAACAATTGGAAAGTGATTTCGATTCAGTTGCCTCAGCCGTCTGAAGATAAGATATCTACGAGTCCTAAATCCAGAATGTATCAGGATCTAACTCTGTTTCGGAGTTGGTGAAGCGGATCAGAATTCAGAATCCAGGACGATGCCTTGCTTCTGGAGGAGACTGAAGGGTCTTACAATGTGAAGAAGTAGAACAGCAGCTTGGACATTCACATTGGCTAATCTTACTCTGTTCTAGTAAGGGCAAAGAACCTGACACACTGAGCTCTTAGGAGTGACTTATTCCAAGTCTAAAGCAAACTCATTGTTCATGTAAACTATCTATCCCACATCGACTATATTTAGTTGGTCTACATTTTTTAGTACCCAAGTCAAAAAAGCTTTGAGACTCATTTGGCTGTCCCACATCGATTGAAGAAGAAGCTTCATTTTCGAGCCAAATACCCTCTATCCATTCGAATCACAATCAGCTTTGGTGTTTGCTTGTGTATTTTTTTTTGGTTACGTGGGATTTGGATGTGGGAGTTGCAAGGAAGAACCCGAAAAGGCCACCATAAATGTCTCGAGAACACTCATCATTGACAACGGTCTGGTCGTGGGAAGGAACAACAGGATTCAGGTCAATGGTGTGTTCTTCGTGCACCCGGACTCATGCACCACTAAAGCTTGTTGATCGCTTTGAAATGTTTGGCAAGCTCAAGACCGAGACAATGAAGCTTCAACAACTAGGAATGTGAGGAATGGTATTGGAAGCAGGAATTGTAACTAAGAGTGAAGATGCATTGAGGAATTCCAGCAAAGAGATGAAGCTCCAGTCACTGGGATAGCCATCTTGCGCCTACTTTTGACTCCAAAGCTGGAGAGAAAAGGGTCTCTGTGTATCTGTAATGATATGTCAAAATGTCACCAAGTGGAGCTCGAGATTGTTTAAAATCTAATTTCCAACCACACCACTGGGAAGTGGGACAGTTGGGCAAAATAAAGGAACCAATACTGCCTAGTGGACAGCTGGTTCAGAATTCATTTCTGTGCCCAACAAAACCCAAGACATTGGGCTTTTAACACAAAACATTTTGGACCCTTTCTTTCAGGCTTTTTTGTAAGACATAATAGGTACAAATTGGGGTGCCCAAATTGTCGTAACCAGGCTTTGGACTGGACACCCATCCCGCATAATTTTCGCGAGATTGACCCACTCATCACGCCCCACTTACTGCCTGAAGGATCATGGTTTTCTTCAACGTTCGTTTTCCCATTTTATATCCATGCCGTCGACTCCCTTTCCCAGCAAACTTCCGATGTGGTATGTTTTCCATCCGTCAGATACAATTTCCACACACAGAACCAACATTCCTGATTGGTTGATAAGATATAATGATGGACCCTAAATCCTTATATTTACACAACCAAAAATATAATCACAACCTAAGCTAGATTCTTTCCCCCAACCCTACAAACCCAACTATGTTGTCTACATGGAATTAGGGGTGTTCAAATGGTTACCATGGTTATAACCAAACCAAATAACGCTAAATTCCATTAACCATGGAATACAATATCATAACCAAACCGTCCAAACTAATACAACAACCAAATTAACCAAACTAAAGTTTAATCGGTTTGGTTAATTGGTTAACCAGATTAACCAATATAAAATCACATTATCATTGAAGATGAAAATTTTCCGGTTAATGCAACAATTCGCAATTTATATAACGAATAAAACATAACAATCAACACGTAGTTATAGTTGACCCTTAATAAAAATACATGCAACTAAGACAATTATCTTACGATTAGTATAGAAGTTTTCACCTAACAAAAATTTATGACAATGGTATGGGTTAATGAATTGTTGTGTTTGTGTAAATTGACTTAGTCTCTTAGCAATTATCATAGGCTAGAAATGACCTTCCTTTCAAGTTTTCATCCATCATAATGTATGAAATTTATCTAAATTAGGCGTCCATATGTTGTGGTCTACATTTTACATATACAAATATACACTATATGAGCAATATTGAGCTTTATATTTTATGAGTGTAAAAGGGATGAACGTTAACTCTTGAGTGATTATGCAAAGTATTAAGTATGTGTATATAATATATGTTAGATATATGACTAATTATTTAACTGGTTAATTTGGTTTGACTGGTTAGGAGTGTCTGAAACCAAACCAAACCACCTAAACCAAACAAGTTAAAAACTTTAACCAAACCAAACCAATTATCCAAATTAACCAAACCAAATTATCCAAATAGTACCGGTTAAAACGGTTACCATGGTAACCAAACCGTTTGAACACCCCGGAATCCAACCCATCCAAAATATAAAACAGATTCCCTCTTTGCTGATTTACCAACTTCCTCCTCCTCCCCATTTCCCTCACGGGTGAGTTCCCGGTGCTCTTCGTCCTGCTCAGCGCGTTCCAAACCCTCCCGCTGCTCTTCTTCGAGAGCTCCTAGCTCTTGCTTATCCCAGGGATCAGCCTACTCCTTCGGCCTACCTTGTCCAACAAGTCTCTGTCCTCCTCAGAGATTCTTGGGATGTGGCTGTCGTGGTGATAGTTTCGAGCTTCGTTCAGGGACGTGATTCGCTGCATCTTCGAGTGGAGATCTTGTCCTCGGAAAGTGGCTGACTTTGGAACATGGCCGGCTTGGCCTCCTGAGGATCGTAGGCCATTGTCGCGTTGTCGGACTAGGGTGATAATACGGTGGAGCCATGCTACGGTCTCGAGGATGTGTTGGTCGGTTCGCTCCTTGTCGGCGTGGTAGAGCGTCTGGAGGCAGATCAGGTTGCCTTGGGTGGCTGCATCGACTCTCCCGTAGTCGCTTCTGTTGAGGATCACAAGTTAGAATTCTTCCACCATTGCGTAAATTGGCATTAATGCTAGGCATAAAGAAGCAAAGTGTTGTTAACTGACCCAGTATTTGCCCATTCTCCAAACCAACCAAAACCTTGGTGAGCTCTGTTGCCAAATCATAAGAGAAGAAAACCATCAATCAAAGTCAAAATCGGATACACGAAACGTAGAAAACTAGGGGAGGATTTCCAAGAGTTGGCAGCATACTTGGTTGTGTTGGCGGCAACGGGTACAAGCCATTGGAGGGTCTTTTCCATTTCAGCCTTTACTTGAGCTATTGAAAGCTGTAGAGGAATATGGACAAAACCACAGTGGTGAGATTGAACAGATAAGAATTATGGAGAGATGGAGATGGAGAAAGAGCTCTATGCAGAATGGAGCGTACCTCTTCATTCTCTTCAAACATCTGTAATAGAGACCTTAGAGATATTTTAACAGTGGGTGGTAACCCTTGGTACAATGAATCCCTTGTGTTAGGAGGAAGACTTGTGGGACGAGAGGCCTGACAACAACAAACCGAATTTCAGTTGAAAGAATCTCAAAAGGAGGAGCCTTTTCTCTTTCATCATGCATAATCACAGACAAAATAGTTGTTGCTCTTACAATGTTGTCTATCTGAGTGATAATGTGAGCATAATGCAATGCTAGACCAGCTTTTCCAAGCCTTTGATGGTTTCCAACCCCATCAACCACTGTGACACCTGCTGACCCATGAAAGAGACTGTTCAGCAGTTTGTAATCAGTAAGTTCTTCACAAATAAGAACTCTACATCATTTTTAGGCATTCTAATCCCAAAACAGAAAAGATGAGTTGATAGCACGAATTCTGAAGTAACTGAAAGCATCACTTTATGATAATATATAGGGAACTTCCTAGCACATGTAGAACATCCATACTGACTTGCCCTCATACCAGTAGTTCCAAATGCTTCCAGAATAGCTTGGGGCAAATAGATTACAATGTTCACAAGCTTCTCCATGATCTGCCAAGAGCATAAAACAAATTACTATTTGATTGGTTCATACTAAACCAAAAGCATGAAATTGCACCTGCAAGGCGGAGAAATAACTGGCCAAAATGTTCATTCAAAACGCAGTGTTATTGTAAGATTTGTAGAGTAAGTAAACTATTTAGAAGATACAAGTACCTCCTCCAAACTTTTAGACCACAAAGATCTTTTTTTCAAGCTGCGGTCAAGCTTCCGTTGCTCTTTCAACTCTCTATGTAAAATTGAGAGGCTCTCTCTACATTTTATCAGAAAATGAACAGCAGGCTCATCAGTAAAATATTCACCCCATCAAAGCCGGTAGGCAGATGTATGATGTATCTATTGGTTGTCATGCAAATCAAGAACAACCTTTCTGAGGGAGGTGTAAGGACTGCAGCTCCTCAACATTATTTTGATAATCTTGCTCAAATCTGTCCAGTGAATGCAATTCATGATAAAGTTCCTGTATAACATAGAAATCAGTAAGAAATCTTTCAGAACCCAATGAAGATTAGCATCCTTGGGCTAGAGATGTGGAAGCCAGATAGGTTTAGACTTTGAAGAGACTAAACACGAGCAGAGCTGACAATTATCACTTAAACAAGCTCCCTAAAGTTCACACTACCTAATATCTTTATGGTTGAAAGGAAACACATTGTAAGGAGAAAACTAGCTATATATTCTCGTATACTGAAGCATCGTAAAAGGGTTGTTTCCATTACATGGCCTAGTACTACAATTCTAAGCAAATGAAGTAATTTCAAGATTAGAGGGTAAGCACAAGGGGTGATACAGGAATCACAACAGAGCTTTCATGAGGATCTTACAGAAGTATGTTGCACCAGATTAGTCAACTCTTGCACAATCCTCTCAGCTTCTTGTCTCGATTGTTTATCAATTGAAGCCTCTGAATCTAATCTGCCATGTTTCATCCATTACAAGACATTAACAACATGTGGCCAACAAAAACCCAAGAAGAAAAACTGCATCTTCATAGAAATACACACTTCGAAAATATCGGCCTAGGTTGTGCCATTGGGGATCCTTATAGAGGTCTCCAAACCGAATTACTTCACGGGAGAAGACATCAAATTCTTCCCTGCCAGAAGAGACACTGATAACAGTGAGATCACTACTCTCCAGGACGATGAAAAGAAAATATTTTATTCAAAAAGCAATTAGCACCGACCTTTTGTCAGCAGCAGTAATAACTAGCAACTCTTTCATATACGTTGAAATCAACCTCTTAACACCTTCTGAATGTAGAATCTCCTTTTTCAGGAATTCGACATTCTCTTCCGAGAGAGATTGAAACAAGATCGCCCCTTTAGATATTGTATTAGCTACTTCAAATGCCAGTATAGATATTATGTTCTCTCTAGATGCTATTCCAGTGACAAACCCACTCCTACCATTCAAATTCGACATGTTACTTCCAAGAGTGTCGAGAACTTCTAACGTTTTCTCCAGACCCATTGTGCATGCTTTCCCCAGGAAGGAAGTTTTGTGAGCAACCTACACGAATTGAAATCAAACTGAAAGCAGTCAAGAACAGTATACACAAGGAAGCCATCTGACCAATCATAGAAAACAAAAAGTTCCCAAACATCAAATTCCAATTTCCAAGAGATCCCATATTTTTGGTGAACAGAACAAGCATCCAGCTGAAAGAAAAGAACATCCTCCACTGGGACTGGGCTGAAGCAAGCACAAACACTGAATTCAACAAGGCACGTTCTGCTATAAACAACTTCAGCTTAGCCACGGCTTCGTCCTGAACATTTAAGCCTTGCATATAAGTCGATGGCCGGTAAGCCTTGTTTAGTCTTCTAAGAATGAACATCCCATTCCACCATTGTAAAACATCCGGTGGTTCAAACTGACAACCCTCAATCCCTGTCCTATTTCCACATTTTCTCTCAGAATTGGACTTCATCTCATGAACATCCCATTCCACCATTGTCAAACATCTGGTGGTTCAAACTGACAACCCTCAATCATTGTCCTGTTTCCACATTTTCTCTCAGAATAGGACTTCATCTGCTTATCACAAGGTCAAAGATAACATAAGTCTATATCATCTCCACGTTCTTCTAGTAATCAATAGCATTCCATAGGCAGCAATAATGTATGGAGTAATCCATTCGCTGCAGCTTGATGCATCATAGTCATCTCCACACAATATCTTCAGTAACAAGCTCCAATCGAAAGACTTCTCACTTTCTCAAGGACCGACAACTAACAACATCCACCGTTGACGATTTCTGCTAACTACTGGTTCAACGATCCCTAAATTCCGCTGGTAGCTCGAACGAAAAAAAGAAAATTAGACCTACAGAGAAGACTAATTCGTACCTTGGCCGGCGTGTCTCCTCCAACCGGCGGCTTTGAAGGCTTCAACTCTCTCGAAATGGACAACAAGAAATCGCCGGAATAGTGCCTCTCCGATTGTGTCTTCCTCTTGCCTCCTTCCTCAATCGCGCGCGATTCCTCCACCTCCTTTCCGCCCCCGCCACCGCCGCTGCTCTTCTGCGACTTCACCAGCTTCCCGGAGAATCCGGACTTCTTCTTTTTCACCTCCGCCTTGGCATTTACATCCATCTTCACCCCGCCCATTTTTGCCACTCCACTAAAAGACGCTGACTGTCGATCCGAGTAGAAAGAAACTGTAACTGAGAAGGATTCTGTATTTACGCTTTCGCCTGAATAGGAGAAGTAAAAGTAAGCAGAGACGGGAAGACTTTTTGATTGGGAATTGTGGATTAAAGTATTCCGAGGTGCAATGAATCGTGATTCGTGAACATATACTAACGTGAGAGAAAATTCTCACTTTCTCGGCGCGAAACCAAATGCGGATTCAGTGTTGCTCCCGTATCCAAAAACAGAAATCTTGTGGGGGAATTTCGGAAGAGAGTTGCAGGCAGCTGCCAATGGAGAATGGGAACGGAGCTGCGATTTCTTTTGACCGAATTGAAATTGAAGTAGAAAACAAAAGAAATTCAACTGGTTTCCTTTTTATATATCGTTCCCTCCCTTCATAGCAATGCCAAATGGACTGAGATGTTTGACTTTGGTCGACCCATTAGCATTGACAAGAATTTAGCTAATTTGTTGACGCCTGATGGTTTAGTTTAGGCCTTTGTCTTCGTTGATAAATATGGTTCAATACATTAGCATCGACGAGAATTGATATGTCGACTCATTAGCATACTATTATTATATGATAATAATACTTATATAAAATGTGGACATGTATAAGTGAGTATGGTGTATGTACATCTCATGAATTAGTCATATGATCACAAGTTTGAGTATTGAAAAGATAGGTGGTTATCATATGCTACTTTTGATAAGTATAGCAATAAATTGGACTTTATGGTTATTATTATTAGAGGGGACAAATCGACATCTAACCACTACCCGGATCGATAACTCAAATTTCTAAGATCTGAAAGGGAAGGTGAAGTCATCACCCACCACAGCACAACTGGAGTCTGACTAAAGTAATAGACTAATAATATTGAAAAATGGGAGTCCTTTTAAATTCCGTTTATTTTGCCGGTTGAAATTATCTTTACTGTCCTCCAATCAAGCGCCTGTCGTCTGGTGATTAACATTGGCAGAGCAATCTGAAGAAGCTGTCAGTGATTATATGTGCGTTGGGGGTGACTTGTCAACGCCGGAGATGGGAAAGCATTGAAGAATACAGGGCAATTTGGGATGTGATGTGACAAGTGATTAATGTACAGTTGTTTCTGAAAATTGAAGAAGACTACTCATTCTTCAGTATTGCCACATGAGTATAAAACACAATACTGCAAATGTGTAAAGTGACCATGTGCAACTTAATTAGTAAGGATTGAACTATCGAGTTAATAAGTACGAAAAAATTAACCCTCACTTAGTTAGTCGGCCATGGTTGCTTTATTCTTTGTAAATGAGGAGCACCTTGCGTAACAAGAGATCTACTTAAATAATAAATTACGTTCAGAATCCTCTATTCCTCCTAATTTGCTCCAATAATGTACCTAGAGTATGACATATGCATGTGTCATTTTTTATATGTAAAAATTAACTACGATTAGGGCTGACAAGCTCACACTCTGGAATTGTAGGAATGGTAAAAGCACACTAAGGGATTGAGACAAGCCACCACCAGATTAAAGACTCTAAACTCTAAAGGACTTCCAGACCAAAGATTATTGATTCTTGATTTGTGATAGAATTGAGATTTGATGCAGATTTAAGTCGACTATTTAATATGCTACACTTTTCTTGTGTTTTGAAAATTTTTACCGCTCTTTCAACTATTTAAATCTTATTTATTAATAAGATTATTTTAGTAAAAATACTAATCCGGAGTGTTTTGCACATATACCGTGTGTGTTGGTATTGAAAATATTATTTTGTTGCATTTGAGTGATTTAATTATAAGGGTACACATGACATTTTCCTACAACATTTTTTGTTGACTCGTAATTATTCGGTTACATGAAAAGCCAATCAACTAAAAACTTAACACATAGGCTTGCGTGTTTCTTATATAACCGTAGTACGTGCATGATCTCTCGTTAAAACATAGTGTAGGCCTCATTTGTTATCTTCCAAATAATAGTACATTGGATTATATGGCTCGAAATCCTTGAAACTGAAGGAAAGCACAATAAACAATAATAGGCAAGCACAATCCCATTAGTATTAATTTATCAATCAATAATAAGTTTACATAACCATCATTCATTATTTCCGATCCATAATTGATTTATTCACGGTAAATTTTTTTCATGACCACATAGTACATAACAAACACTCGAAACGAAGGGAGATAAACGAAAACGAGTAGATAAGACCACAGTCACAGCGTTGACTGATGCAGGCCAGTCAATCTGTGTTTCCTCTTTTTAGTTCAAGAGAGTTGACCGCAGTCAGCGATGACAACGGGCTTGGCGGTCCGGCCCGACTGCGACCCGACCCGCTCGATCGCCTTGACCACATCCATCCCTTCCACGACCCTCCCAAACACCACGTGCTTCCCGTCCAGCCACTCCGTCTTGTCCGTACAGATGAAGAACTGCGACCCGTTGGTCCCCGGTCCGGCGTTGGCCATCGACAGGATCCCGGGACCGGTGTGCTTCTTCACGAAGTTCTCGTCGGCGAACTTCTCCCCGTAGATGGACTCCCCGCCGGTCCCGTTCCCGGCGGTGAAGTCGCCGCCCTGGCACATGAACCCGGGGATGACGCGGTGGAATTTCGAGCCCTTGAAGTGGAGCGGCTTCCTGCACCTGCCGACACCCTTCTCGCCGGTGCATAAAGCCCGGAAGTTCTCCGCCGTCCGCGGGGTGGTGTCGGCGAAGAGCTCCATCACGATCCGGCCCGCCGAGGCGTTGCCCACGGCCATGTCGAAGTAGACTCTGGGGTTGTTCACCATTTTTTTTTTTTTTTGGTTAGTTTTTTGTTTGTGGTGCTGTTTGGGCGAGTTGGATTTGATGGATGTTGGGCGCTCGATCGATCGCGTATACATAGTATGGCGAATTGGTGGGGAAGGAATTTTGGTGGGAGCTGCGTGCACTTGACGCCAGTATCTATTCCATTCATCTGCAGTATGGCGCCATCGGATAAATTAACGTGCCAAAAAGAGGATTCTCGCCTATGCAGAAGATACCATTGAAAAAAAAAATATATTTGATATCGTGCTAAAATTACCCATCGTCGTGACATAGATGTATTTTTATTATTAGACGATATTGTTGGGATTTTGAATGGTGTGCGAATGGAAATGAAAGGGGGAAGAAGCTAATAGTTGGTGAGTAATCGGTTAGATTGGGTTGTGTGACCAACTCGAATAGAGTTGAATCGAATTAAACCGAACCGATGTGACGGTTGGAGTGAACCAATCGGTCCAACTATTATTGGCCGAACCCTGATCGATGCAATGGTTCATAATTATAAAACTAACAAATGCGTTGGTTGGGGGTGTAATGTAACCACCCACCTGAACGGTCACATCCCTTCACTCACAAGTCACACCCCGTCATTTTCTATAAATAGCACCAACCCCCCTAAGACTTAATACGCGAATTTTTCCCAAGGGATTTTCGGCCAAAAGAATGATATTAGTTTTCTTCTTCATTTCATTTTTCCCCTCTTTACAAACGCATAAAAGAAAACAGAGTCGTGTGGCTTCTCGCCGTTCGTTGCGTTCGTTGATTTCTGGGGTTTCAAATACCGGTACGCCAGAAAATGCACGTTTGTTCTATCCTGCGAGAAAATAGTTCCATTAACCTTGGATACCGTAAAGGGAACTAAATTCCTTAAAAAGAAATAGTAAATTCTATTCAACTTCCCAATCACCCACTGTTACAACTCAAGAGAATCATTGTTACCGGTGCCAAATAGTATGGGGAAGACAAGAAATTGGTTAGGGGTGTCTTTAATTTCATCATACCATAAAAAAATCAATATATAATAGAAAGTCTAACTCTAAACAAAATAAAAAGTCAACCACGTAATATCAAGATTCGTAAAATCACAGAATGATAGTTCGACGCATACTGCATGCTTACAACGAACCGACATAATATTTCATATTTTGAGAACATTTTAGAACACACTCCTTGCTCAAACTAGCACACATATCTTGTTTAATATATCATGTATATGTCACCATCACATTGTCCATTCAGTTCCAAAGATCGTTCTTAATATATTTCATGAATGAAATGATCTCGCCATACTTAGTTACCGTGGTAACAAGCAAAATAAGTGTTAACTTCATAAGCAAATAAACAAGTGGGATACAATTTGCACTTATTTGTTTACACTATTTTTTCTAATTCATCAATCCCTTATAAATTTTTGAACACGTCATCGAATGGTAGATCATTATTGTCTCTATTTATTATTCCAAAATTCAAGTGATTACCAAAAAAAATTCATAAGATTTGGAAGAAACTCCTGTAGGTAGGGGGAAAAACCCAATTATTTGGGATATCTTGTGGGAAGGAGAACTTAGTTATAGGTGGCAAATGGATTGAATTCATTGATTGGTGGATTGGATTGGACGATTGGTGAATCCATGGATCAAATAGATTCATGGATCCAAATCACATCTAAGCCTTGAATCATTTTGTAATTTTAAAAAGTTTAGGTACTAAAATGTCATAAAAAGTTTTGGATCCCACTTGTTTAAAAAAGTTTTTGCTTAAAAAAGTTTTGGATCCCACATTTTTAAAACTTTTTTAAAAAGCTTACAAAATGTCATAATTTTAAAAAGTTTAGGTACTAAAATGTCATAAAAAGTTTTGGCTAAATTACACATTTGGTCACTCGAATTACATAAACATTTCACGTTTGCCACCAAAATTAATTTTCTTTCAATGTAACCACTCACTTTACGAATCGTTTCACCGTTGGTCACCCTCCGTCAGTCTCCGTCAGACTCCGTTAACGCCGTCAGATTTTTGATGACGTGGCAAACGGAAGTGCTGACTGGGCTGACAGAGAGGCTAAAAAAGACGGCTTTGACTGCCTAGTCAGCCACATACCCGACCCAGCAATTTAATTGACCCGTTTTTTGTATTTCATTTTTCTTTTCTTTTATTTTTATTGAAAAAAGGTTTACTTTTAGTTGGAAAACTGAAAACGATCGGGCAGAAGGGGCTTTTCACTTCTCTTCTTCTCTTCTCTTCGTATTCTATTCTCTGCAGGGGCGGCGACGTCGATCTCGATCAGGGGAGAAGGGGAGACGCCGGTCGGACAGGTCCGACTAGGCCGGAGAAAGGATTTTCCGGGCAGGTGAGGTGGAGGTAAGGCCACCGCAGTGGAGGCGCTCGATCGGGCGGCGGTGAAGTCACTCGATCGGACGGGGAGTTGCAGGTAAGCCGCCGAATCTTCTAACCTTCAGGCGCCAGAGATATTGCAATCCCCAAACTAATCATGTCGACGTTGGCTCGCTCGCTGCAATTGAGTTGCTCCTTGCTGCAACCTAGGAAGCACCGCGCAAAGAATCTTCATCGGCCGTAGATTGCAGAATCACTCCCTCTTCCGTCGCTCGTCGCTCCTTCTACGCCTCGTCAAACTCAAATCCCGGTCTTCCCCTCAATCCAATTCCCTCTAAGATGTCTTCTCCAGTCATCCTTCCATTTCCAACTCATTGTCCCGGTAATTGAAATCCCTTCTAGTGAGGGTTGCAATGAGGGTTTTAGCCAAGAATTTGATTCGTACAATCTAACCTAGATCCCGGCTCTCTGCTCGCTGCTTCATCTGCTCGCGAACATGGGCTCCATTTGGAGAACCTCTATTCTTTATTGGGCTTACCTGTGCAAACATACAAGAAGCTCTTTACCACCTCCTTCTTTTGCCACCCAACAACAGATCGAATATATGAGTTTACAAACTTGATTTCTGGCTCTTTCTTTAATTGTGGATTCATTGTGATTTCGTCTGCTACCCACTTCATTTCTAACTGATAGATGAAAGGTCACATATCTAAGTTTATGAGTGACTGGGCCTCCCCGAATTGTTAAGTTTCATCGGAGTCGGCGCCATTAGAGATGCAGCGAGCGGGGCTAGGGTTTGAGGGTCGAGGACGCCGTGGACGGCGACGGAGCGGGCGTCGAGGGATAGCTGGCCGGAGCAATAAAAAAGTTATTAATTTTATTAAATAATTAATATTATAAATCATATAAATAAAGTAAGTGGAATGATGAGTTGGAAAAATAATTTTTTTTAATTATTTTAATTTCCACGTCATCTAGTTAACGGTCAAACGTTATAGTTGACTGCCACGTAGGACAAATTTTACGGAGTGTAACGGTCGGTGACTAACGGTGAAATGATTCGTAAAGTTAGTGGCCAATAAGAAAGAAAAGTGATTTGGGTGGCAAACGTGAAAGATTTGTATAATTTGAGTGACCAAACGTGTAATTTAGCCATAAAATTTTTTTAAGTATCAAAATGTAGTTTTCAATGATATTTTTTTGTATTTAAAAATTTTAGGAACCAAAATATAAATATAAAATTTATAGGTACTAAACCATAATTTGTCATTTGGATCTATAGACCTATTCATAAATCCACCAATCCATTTGGATTTGGATCAAATGGATTGGATTTAAATGGATTGGAATTTTTTTTTTAACCAATAGATCACTTGTATTACCAAGGCAAACATCTAGAACAGTTTACAACTCAAGAACAAACCAACGAAAAAAATCAAATGTATCTACAACTGCAGGCAACAAAGTAAAGGGTCTTCCTAGCCACCTCATGGGCCACCCGATTGTTACTCCTGCCAATAAAAGCCATCTCCAAACGTAGGTAACGTAGCCGCAGCTTCTAAATTTCTTCAAGAATCTGCCCGCCTTTCACGTCCCTAGCATCCAACTTCTGGATTTTCTCAATGACAATCTTCGCATCCCCGCAGAATTGCACTTCGGCTAGTCCCTTCAAAGCGCACCACTGAATTGCATCACGAAACGCCACCAATAACACCAGAAAAGGATCCTCCAGACCTGCATACCAAAACCCTTGCACAAAACACACCCTCCCCAACCCATCATAAACCACCAAACCACCAGCCCCATGCGAACCAGCACGAACAGCACCATCCACATAGCATCGATAAGGCATAGCAATTTGTGATCTACAAGCCACCCTACCTGTACCCCCTCCCTGTTGACCCCGATTCGCTCTAACCCGCCCAGCGTCAGCCAGCCTCAACCACTCCCGGACCTGCTCCTCAAATTGCCTCACCAGAGTATCCACCCCATACTGAACATGATCAAACGCCACCCAATTTCTACTCTTCCAAATTCTCCAAAGAATTGCCACAAATCGAACTATCCTCTCTACACTGACTTCCTGCTCAAAAAATCGGCGAAGGAATAAAGCAAAATTCAACGGAGGCTGCCTCACAAGCTCTTCCCCCAAACCCGACCTCTCCCAAAGCACCTTTGCCATCCTGCATGATAGAAACATATGCTCCAAAGTCTCCAACGGCGCCCAACAAACCGGACACCTGGGATCAACAACCTCATCACCCAAATCAGGCTCCACTTCCCCCGGTAGTCTACCAGTCCGCTCAATTATCATTTCCATAGTCGGGAGGATCCGCTTAATGCTCTGCCAAAGGAAGCACTTCAGCTTTGGCGGAATGGGAAGTCCCCAAAGCTTTTTCCAACACTTCATATAAAAAAAGGACACCTCAGCCTTCCAATCCTGAATCTGCTTAGCATATTGAAAGGCCAAATGGTACCCCGACTTCACCGTATACTCCCCATCCCCCTCACCTGTCCAGACTTGACTATCTTCCACCCCACCCCGCGGAAGTGGTATAGACTGGATAGTCCGCACTATCGGTCGAGAGAAACATTGGTCCAAACATTCTAAGCACCATTCACCCTTGCCAGGTACCAGCAGCGAGTTAACTGTCACTCCTGTCAGATCTGGTGCCGAGGCCTTCACTTCCAGCTCCTCCGGACTAATACCCGGGATCCATTTATCCTCCCTAATTCTAACCTGTGAACCTTCCCCAATCTGCCACCTAAGACCCTTGACAAGCAAGTCCCTTCCGTGCAAAATACTGATCCACCCCCATGAGGGTCTCGACCTACGAGTCGCTGTAAGAATAGATGTCTGTGGGAATTATTTCCCTTTCAACACCCTTGCCAGCAACGTATCCGGCTCCTTCCAAATTTGCCATGCGACCTTCGCCAG